AAAGAGATGCCTGCAGACGCCTTAACTAAGGTACTTACTAAGGCTCTCTTTACTAAATTCCTCTCTATTACCCTACGTAATAAGTTAGGGGGAGTGTTAGAGGCCTAAGAATAAGTCTAGACTATTCTAGACTCTTCTAGACCTCTTCTATTACTAAGAACTTATTCCTACGGGTTCTTTCAGATTCTAGCCCTTATTCTAGATTGTCTCATTACTAAGGCCTAGAATCTTCTAGTCTAGATTAATTAGAAATCGTCTTCTATTAATAGAAGAACCTATTACTAATTACCTAGAGATAGAACTCTCTAGAATCTATAGGTTCTTCTATATAAACACCCTTAGGTAGCCTGCTAGTTAGTCCTTTAAGGAAGTTCTCTTATAGTAAAGAATCTACTACATTCTCTACTATAAACCATCTACCATACGGTATATAATAAAGATATTACTTATCTTTATAGAATACCGCTAACAAGTTTTAAGCGGAAACTATAAGTATATGAAGTCTCGAAGTTTATTAGGTGCTAATGGGCCTGATGCACCTAATAGAAAGTAGGGAGATTATTAGAGTATCGATGTTTTCTCTAATAACTTAGCCGGGAGTAGAGATATAAGGAATCTGATTTTAGATCCTTATCCGCCGAGTTTTTCTCTTTAAAACGTTCTACTACTTTGCTTACTAAGCAAAGTATTCGGGTCGATGCGGGTCGAAAACGTTTCGAAGTATCGTGAAGTTTTAGTGTTCCTCGTGCCAAGACACTAGCGGGAACTAGTGTAAACGGGTAACGCTTAGGCCTAATATGGTATAGAGGCCGCGCAGCCACACCTTATATCAACGTAGTTAATAGAAATGTGAGGAAATCCGGAGAAAGGCGGAGAAAGGTAAAGAATAGGTAGTAAATAAGGTTATTCTAGACTACTAGAAGGTTCTAGAATAAAATCCTAGGTAGATATAGGCCCGACGGTCCTAGGAAAAATTCGATAGGCTAAGAGCCTAAGGATAGGGCTTAGGATACTAGTTCTTACCCTAAAAAATGCCTTACTTATATAAATAAGTAGGCTTTCCCTAGACTTCTTTATAAGTTTAGCTTAATAGCTATCTACCGAGATAGTCTTACTAAGCCTTACTTATAAGAGCGGTCTAGTATAGAAAGAATAGTATATTCTTTCTTATAAGTAGGGAAGGAAGTAAAATCCTACTTATAAATTATAAGGTAAGCTATATAGTAATCTATAGATTACTATTAGCCGGGCTTATAACCTATTAGCGGTATTCTATAAAGATAAGTAATATCTTTATTATATACCGTATGGTAGATGGTTTATAGTAGAGAATGTAGTAGATTCTTTACTATAAGAGAACTTCCTTAAAGGACTAACTAGCAGGCTACCTAAGGGTGTTTATATAGAAGAACCTATAGATTCTAGAGAGTTCTATCTCTAGGTAATTAGTAATAGGTTCTTCTATTAATAGAAGACGATTTCTAATCAATCTAGACTAGAAGATTCTAGGCCTTAGTAATGAGATAATCTAGAATAAGGGCTAGAATCTAAAAGAACCCGTAGGAATAAGTTCTTAGTAATAGAAGAGGTCTAGAAGAGTCTAGAACAGTCTAGACTTATTCTTAGGCCTCTAATAACCCTATACCGACATTATACTAAGAATTATACTTTATCGTACGAGATTCTTTAGCTAGGTATCCCTACTTACCTTATAAACGTACGCGGTATCCTCTATAGATAGCTCCGTCTTAGATAGCCTATAGCTCTAGTAAGACGTAAAATAATTAATTAATTAATTAATTAATTATATTAACCCTATTCCTTAACGTACGAGGCGCCTTTAATCATGTAGCCTATAACTAGCTCTTATATATAATAGGGGAAATTAGGCTCCCTACTTTCCTCCTAGTATAGGTAAAGACATTTACTAGCGGTTAATAACTCTAGATCTCCTTTAATAGCTAATAAGAGGACCTTTATCTAATAGTTTTAGGAATCCCCTAAGGAAGCCTAGTCTCCCTAATCCTGTTTCTTATCTATATATAAAAGCTCTTTTCCTCTTACTTAGTAAGATTCCTCTTATATATTAATGATGTTTTAATTATAATCTTCTTAATAAGTTAGAAGAAAAATGCGCGGATCCTCTAGCGGGAAGTAACCTAGCTCTTCTTACTTAGAACCTAGTATGCCGTTAACTTTAATAAAGATAAAATAGACCTCATCTATTTTATAAGCTTAGACGAGGCTAAGGCAGCTATAATTATATTTCTAGGAGATTATATAGTAAAGCTAAAGTAACTTATATAATAGCTTAGGATATAGTTTAATATACGCCTATTATTCCGGTAGTATATAATAATTTAAAATGCCTAAGTAAAGTAATTACTTAGACGACTCATATAGCTAGCTAATATATAACGTAGACTATCCCCTACTACTATCTAATAGCTATACCTTACTTACGTATAAAGTATAGTAGATTATAGGTCCCTAGTTTTCTAGTAGGTTAATAGCTCCGAGATACTTAGATAAATACTTTAAAATAGTGGACTATACTAAATCCTAGGAACCTTTTACACCTCCCTAATTATTCCTATAGAAATTAAAGTAGGCCTTCTCCCCTCCTACCTTAGGAGGAATATATTACTTTAAGTATACGCTATAAGACTCTTTAAACTTAGTTACTAACACCTAGTACGTATAATTATCGATAAGTTTAAACTAGAGAGTATACTAGAACGCTAGATATAACTTAAATATGTATAGAATATAATTTTAGACCTAGTAATAGGTACTAAAAGCCTAATTAAGCATGGTTCCTTTCCCCTATAGAAAATAACTACGCTATATGAAGTTAAGATTAGCTACCTCTAAAAGGAATAAGAAGCCTAAGCATATGTTAGACGTATAGGATATATAACTTAAGTAGTTATTCTATATTCTAACGCTTTATCTATCCTAAAAGGAAATAGAGTAGGTATAGGGATTATAGCGTATAACACCTAATAAGATAGTATAAGAGTAGTAGTAAGATATAGAGTAAATACTAGACTATACTAGCTCGTATATAATAGAGAACTAGAGGTACTTATAAGGGCTATAGAGCTAGCTACCTAGAAATAGCTAGGGTAATAGATTATAGTATACACGGATAACTAAGCTATACTATACCGCCTCTAAACCCTATCTAACCTACTAGGTTAAGGTCTATAACTTTAAGCTATAGATGTAGGCTACTTAATTATAGCTAGATAAGGTAGTCTTACCTTCTTATAGGCCCTAGGCTATATAGGAATTAGAGGAAATCTATAAGTAGACGCCCTTATAAAGGAGGCTACTAGGCTAACCCTAGAGAATAACTACTTAAGTACTACCCTCCTTAGGATGCGCGTACGATAAAGAACTATAGTAGAATAGATAATATATACTATATAATACTAGGAAGCATAAATAACACTATCCTAGGGGTTATATATACGTAACTTCCTATCTATACTAAGGATATCTATCTAACTCCCTAAGTATAGATAACTAGAAGTATTAGCCTACTTCTAATTAAAACTAAACTACGGCTACTTTAGAGCCTACCTAGTATAGTTTAGTAAGATAGACTAGGATAATTATAGCTATAATAATACCGCCTAATAAATACTATAATACCTTATTAGTAACTACCTACTCTATAGCTCTACTAGGAGAGAAGCTATATAGGAAGCGTATAAGGCGTACGATAATAATAGTAGGAAAATAGCCTCTATACCCTATAGAGAGCTATTCTAAGGAGATGTTAGTTAATAATTCATACTTAAATTTATATATCGGACGAAGGTTTCTACTAGGGTATAGTATATGTAAATAGTAGACTAAGGGAAAAAAGAAGAGTAAAAAGAAGAAGAGAGAATCTATTCTAATCTCTACTAGTAGAGCGAATAATAAGCTCTATAATCCCTCTACTTATAGTTCCCGTAGGTACTACCCTAGAACCCCTCTAACCGAAGATAATTAAGGAAAGGACCTCTTTATCTATAATCTACCTAATACCCTCTAGGCTTATACCCTTTCTCTACCTTATATAGAGCCTCTACTAAGACTCTAGCCCTCTAGATTAGGAAGGCGTTAACATAGCTTAGATAACTACTCTATAACTATTCTAGCTAAATCCTCCTACTCCTAATAATAATTAGATAACCGTTTAGTAGTAAGGTAAGGGCTTAACGCTATTCGTCTATATAGTATACCTAGGCTAGGGTAGCATATAGAGCTCTATTATTAGTAATAATATTAATGTACGGTTATCTAACGGCAGTAATAGGGCTAGATTAAATTATAAGTAACATTAATATAGATTAAACCTAGGTTCTTTAGTATTATTTATTTTCTATAATAAGTATTAGCTAACTATACTAGTCGGCTAGAAGATATATACTACTAGTTAAAAACCTTACCCGCCTTTTTTACATTTATAGGTGCTAAGAAAGGTGTTATATAACGCTAACTAAAAATAGTACTATTAGGGATAGTACTAGAACGCTATAGTAGAGGATATATATAATCTACCTTACCTACTACCCTATACTATATTTACTTTTCTATGTATGCCTTCTTTCTATCCCCCTTTCTTTCCTTACTCTTACTTTATGCTACCTATCTACTTAGATAATAGTAGGAAGGCTAGTTCTTAGCCCCCCCTTACCTAAAAAGAGCCTAGATAAACTATCTATCTATAATAACTCTATACTAATATTATACTAAGAATTATACTTTATTATATAAGATTCTTTAGCTAGGTATCCCTACTTACCTTATAAATATACGTAGTATCCCCTATAGATAGCTCCGTCTTAGATAGCCTATAGCTCTAGTAAGACGTAAAACAATCAATTAATTAATTAATCAATTAATCAATCAATCAATCAATCAATCAATCAATTAATCAATCAATCAATCAGATCGTTGTTATGGAGAATATAGTCACATCTCTCCACTCATTCCTTTATCGCGGTCCAATGGTCTAGTGGTATGATTCTCGCTTTGGGTTATGCAATCTAGCATGCGAGAGGCCCCGCGTTCGAATCGCGGTTGGACCCCACAAAACTGTCTTTTTGCCCTTCGCCCCTTCTTTTTGGCACACCAATTAAACCTCCACCTTTTGAACTGCCGTGCTGTTGCTCCTCGCTGGTAAATATGGTTGGGAGGGGTAGTTCGTCTATCTGTTGTGGGGCTGTGGTGTGGAAAGGGAAGAGATGGTACCTTTGGTTTGAATGTCGAGTTTACTTTATCTTCTTGTTCTTCTTACTCCCTTTTTTCTGGCATAGAGTCATCCACGACGCGTCCGTCGGGCAAATTGGGAAAACCGGAGTTGAGCACCCGAGCGCCATGGAGCGAAGCGCCAGACCTTGCGCAAGACCCGGCCAGCCATGCGCGACGGCACCGGCACAACGGGTCAACGTGATGGGATGGGAGGGAGGGTGGGTGGAATGCGTTGAGCCCGTAGGCCATCCTCCGTTCATTCTTCCCAGCAAACGCACAAGTAGGGCAGCGTTGCGCTGTGGTTGTCGGATGGGGGGTGGGTTCAATGGGGGAACACGCATAGATGTGGTGGCGTGTGGCACGTCGTGTGCGCCAGCCAGCGCAAGCGACAACGAAGCAAGGCGGGAGGGCGGAAATCGAGATGACGGGGGCGAGATGCGTAGCGACAAAGGAGAAGCATCTGCATAGAACTGTTCTGATAGACGATTTCTTACGGTACGTCTGTTTCTACACATGCACGCAGTGCAGTGAGTGACGGCTGACCCAGGCAGAGTCGCAATGGAGTAGGGAGAAAAGCCCAACGCACAGACCAAACGAAAACACCACCGGGTGCCGTGGACAGGCAGGTGGACAAGTGGACAGGAGGAGGTGAGGTGGACAGCAAGCTAGCGACGTTCAAAGTTGCAGCGACGACCAATCAGGGCGTACCGTTGCATCGACAACGACAGCGACAGGCGAGCGCACAGTGCAGGTAGGAAGGACCTCACGACTTGCCATGCCATGCCATTCATTGGCGGATACAGATGAGGATAGCTTTCTGTCGACGTTCGAAGTTGCGGGTTGACCAATTAGATTCCATGGATGACGGGATGCGTCCGGGTGGTGCGTGGGTACGTGCCCCACTCACGGTATAAATGTGAGTGGCTATGTATGTATTACGTGTAGGTGGTATCTGGATCTGTGTATATTCTGATCTATGCTATAGATAATGTATGCAGTCGCGCCCTCTGGCTTCCTCTTGAGATCAAATGAAGTAGCTTCAATTGGTCGCATGTTCAAACGCTCCACGTCTATGCATCACGCACGCCCGGTTGTTGTGAAACCGCATCGAAGCCTCCATGTCTTTTTCCACCATCTAGCCTAGTTATACACGAACGTAGCGTTCATTCCTTGCATCTCTCTCTTAACCGTGCCTATTCATTTACCACATGCGCGCGTGCGTCCGTCTGTCCAATGTATTGCCTTTGCTCTACTTTCACCTCTCCTCTTTTGCACAATGCCTCTCACGTCCTGTCCTCTTTACCGACACCAATCAATCCCCGCAACTCATCTCATCTTCATTTGATCATTTGGACAATTGGATACGGCACATACCAAGCCACCGCCGCCTTCTTCTCTCCCACCACGCTCTTTTCCTAACAATGTAATCACCATAATACCACCATCACCACCACTACCCCCACGAAACAAAGTTGAATAAAAACTTTTCCTCCGAAACCGCTTCACCACCAATTAGCAAGCGAAGAAGAAGAGACTCGAAAAGCATCAAACGAAAAAAGAGAGGGGAAAAAAAAAAAAAAAGAAAAAGCCCCGTCTACCAAGCGAAACAAAAAAGACAAAACGAGAGCGAGGCTGCGACTAGTAGTGTACTGGTACCCATCATTACAATTCCATTACCGGCGACGCTGCGGCAGCGTCTTCAAACCACTCAAAGCAGAAGACAAAAAGTTTAAAGGGATCAAATCGGAAGAGACGGAGAAGAGGGGGCGGGCCTAGGATAGACACGCCCCTTCTTCGTTCTTTTCTCCTCCTCGCAAAGATCAAGAGCGAGAACCGCTCAAAGCACTCATCTTGGCAGAAAGCAAAAAGCAGAATCCAAGAACCAGACTTGAGGGGAATCTGAAGCGTCGCGTAAGGACAAGAGAAAAACGCGCTTCTTTGAACCGGTTATGCAATGAGTGACAGCCCGGCCGTAATGGGGCGAATGTATGGATAAGTCAAGGTAGGGACGGTGAACGCTAAGATGATCAGAAATGGTAAAATCTGTCGGCCGTGATTATAAACAAGTGAGTTAGGTCGTGGCGTGGTTGAAGGTGGTGGCGTTGAATGAGGCGGGCGGCGGCGTCCTGTCGTAGGTGTGAACATTGAGGGCCGTCGATTCGTTGACGTGCAGCGTTTTGCCAAAAGTCGTCATCATCTCTAGAGAGACAGAATACCGAGGGAGACCACAAAGGGCGCGGGCGCGCGGCTGTGTCCAAGGTAAAGCAGTCGACGTTAGCTCCAGTGGCATCCCGTTGGTCGTGGACCAGTCATAGTCGTGGAAAAAAGAAGCGTCCTCACTCAAAACCGCCGGGCATCGAGGGTGCTGCCGACCGCCTCTTGGCCTTTTTCTCAGGTGTCATCGGTCGGTCGCTATCGGTCGAAACGCGCTCGACATGCTCGACAGTTTCGGGGCCATGCTTTTGAGCGTGGAGGTCCCGGGATCGTCGCAACGTCTCGTTTTCCAACTGCTTAGCGGCTTGCGCTTCGATGCGCCGTTCGTCGTCCGAGTCCAGGGCAATGGCCGAGTCCTGCTTTTGCTCATGGTGGATGAGGGGTGCGGCATGGTCCGTGTTGATGGTCTTGTCAAAAGTCAAACGTTGCTTCTCGTGGGCATCCTGAAAAACGTCGTGTGCTTCGTTGGCTTCGCCTTTATGCATATGACTTCCGTTGGGGCCTTGCTCATGAGAAGTGAACTCACTCTCGAGGCTTCTCCTGGGCAACTGCGAGCTTTCTGCCTTACTCCGCCTCCGCTGGACAAACGGGCTCCTTGGACTGGCGTCCTTGTCACCGCCATTGGCCAACGAGTAGTTGGGAACGACGCCACCGCCAAGTCTGGCCCAAAACATGCGTTCCCTTAGCTTCACCGTCTCCTCCCAGGCACTCTTTTCTTCGTCGCCATTCTCGGCTCGCCAGTGGCCATCTCGGCACATGCGCAAAAATGCAATGTAGTCGCAGCAGCTCCGAACGCGCGTCAGGCAAAAGTCGCACAGTGGATAGCGCTGGGCATCTCTTTCGTCGGATGTCCGGAACCGGTGTTTCCTTGCATATGGATCTTGGCCGGCCTTGTCCTTGGTCCGAGAAACGCGACACTCGCCGCACAGACTGCAGGCAAAAACCGGGCCCCGGTAGAATGCCACGTGCGGTTGTGGTTCAATCGTCAACGACCCGGCCGTCATTGCGCTGAGAACCGAACGGCGCGCCAACCACGAGAGACCTGGCGCATTGTCGAGGCGGAGAGTGGGCTCAATGTCTTCTGTTAAGGCGCGCTTGTAAAACTTGAGCTCCTTGAGCGACGGCAAAGGTGTCGCCTCGGGCTTTGGAGAAGCTGATCCGGGCAGGGACGAATCGGAACTTGTTTGGGGCATGTTCAGGCTGGCCGTAGACAGGTTGGCCAGGGTTCCAAGACCCATGACGTTGAGGCCGCCGTAGTTTCCGGACGCGGCACGGGAGCTCGGGGCTGACGATTGTGTCTTGGCCGTCTTCAACAGCTCTTGAAACTCGTTGTACGCCTGGATGTCCGTGCGCAAGACCGGGCTGATGAGATGCGCAAAGGCCAGAGGGTGAAGCGGTTCCATATCTCCGTTGGACATGTCCGGCGAGCTTCGGATGCTGGCTTGCTCAAAGTTGCGGCTTGCCCGTTCCGATAAGGCGATGGCAGGTGTCGAAATGTCGGTAATTGACGAGGTCGTGTCCTTTTCTTCCTGTTCGGCGGTCATTTGAGCCATGACCCGCTTAAGGTCCTGCAGTTGTTCTTGCTGAGAGGCCAAGAGTTGATTCGTATCCTGGACTTGAGTTTTGTAGTGCTCAACCCGCTTTTCGGATGCTTCGGTCTCTTTGCGAGCTGCTGCGACCATCTACGACAGTCAGACATGCTGGACGAGGCGGAAAAAGAGACTCACCGTGTTGGCTTCTTCAAAGAGAGCAGTTGTCAGAGTTTCGAGCTCATTTTCCATCCGCTTGCGCTCCCTGTCGGCGGCCAGTCTCGAATTCCTCTCGGCTTCAATCTCTTTGCGCAACTGCTTTTCCATGCGATCATATTCTTCCTTTTTGACCATGGCGCGCATCTGGCGCTGGCGATCCTTGGCCTCAACCTCGAGCTGAGCGATGCGCGTGTATGCCTCTTGCAGTTCATGGCGGGCAGCCTGGAGGTTGTCGTCGAGATTCGTTTGGTGGTTGATGGCGTTGATAAGTTTGGTGCTGAGAGCAGCTACCTCGTTGCTCAAGTCGGGGTGCTGGTTCGGCGTAAATGGACGCTCCGAGGCCGTGGCCGGGCGCCTGCTTGGCGAGGGCGTGCGCGGGTCCGGAATGGTGTTGAGGACGCCTGATTCGGGACGCGAGAGATGAGTCGAAGCGCCGGGCGAAGGGGCGCTGCGAGGCAGTTGGGGAGTGCTCGTGGATTTTGTGAGGGCCTTCATGGCGCCGTTGTTGGACGTCGGAGGTTTGGTGGATGAAGGGGTAACGGGACGTCGCTGGGCGGAAAGGCGAGAGGAAAGGCCTCCTCCATGGCCCCAGCCGCCGACGGTGAAGAAGTAGCTAGGGGAAGTTAGTGCAAGCCATGACATGGGCTGAGGTGAGAGGGCATACTCAGCCAGGTTGGCGGATGGTGGAGAGAGCGGAGGAGCGGAGCGACGGGAGGAGGAAACGGGGAAAGGAGACAGCGGGCGGGGAGTGGATCACTTGTGCATCGCGCAGGCGAGGGCGGGAGTCGGGTTGGTTTTGAGTGGGGGGAGAGGCGGAGTTGGGGGAGGGGGGGTTTGGGGATCGGGTAGGGTAGGTATGTGTCGAGAATGAAGGG